GAGGACAGGGGGACAAAGATGGACAGGGGGACAGGAGGAAAGGGGGGGAGATGTATGAGGGGGAATGTTTGCGAGAGATGGAGAAGGGGTATTTAGAACGGTAAGTTAGAGAAGGGACAACTAAGGCGCATCATTGAAAAGCAAAGCAAATGAGCATCATTGCAGTAGCAGGAGCCACGCACATCTTCAGCCTGCGTTGTTGAGACATTGTCAATTAAGCGGTGTCCAATAGCAGTATCTTCGGTATTTAAGCGATACCTTAAAAAATACTGGAATTATTGAAAGATATTAATCCAGATATTAATCCCCTTGTGCAACGCACACAAGAGGCAACAGCTTCTAGCTCTACAAGCGGCAATATAAAATAGAGAACAGGCGATTGTTTTCACTCATAGTGTAATAAACCCACGGACCCACCCACCCGCTGAAGCCGGAAATACCACGACATTACTTCCGTTTAAAATTCAGCCGGAATAATCCTCAGGTATGTGGAGGATGTGGGAGGCCTTTGATCAACCGCCGACTTCCTGCCCCGTCGACGGGGCCACCAGCCCTCAGTGTGCCCTCAGCCAAATTCATGTGAAACGTATGTGTGTGTATTAAATATTTTAATTTATTGTTCCCAAGATTTAGCTGTTAGCTCTTGGACCCCGCCTTTCTAAGCGTCGGTTGTCTAATGTACCGACTCTCACCCTCTTTTCCTCCATCATATCTAAACAACATATATTTTTATCTAACACACACACACATCCCCAAGATGCAGCCTTTAGCAGCTTCCTGACTTTCAGGTTCCTATTTACTGCAAGGTGAATAGAGGCATTAGTGTCTGTATGTTTGTGTGTGTGTGTGTGTACGTGTGTGCGTGTGTGTGTTTGTGTGTATACTCACCTAGTTGTGGTTGCGGGGGTTGAGCTCTGGCTCTTTGGTCCCACCTCTCAACTGGCAATCAACTGATGTACAGATTCCTGAGCCTACTGGGCTCTATCATATCTGCATTTGAAACTGTGTATGGAGTCAGCCTCCACCACATCACTGCCTAATGCATTCCATCTATTAACTACTCTGACACTGAAAAAGTTCTTTCTAACATACCAGTGGCTCATTTGGGTACTAAGTTTCCACCTGTGTCCCCTTGTTCGCCTACCACCCGTGTTAAACAGTTTATCTTTATGTACCCTATCAATTGCTCTGAGAATTGTGTAGGTAGTGATCATGTCTCCCCTTACTCTTCTGTCTTTCAGTGTCATGAGGTGCATTTCTCGCAGCCTGTCCTCGTAACTCATGCCTCTTTAGTCCTGGGACTAGCCTATTGGCATACCATTAAACTTTTTCAAGCTTCGTCCTGTGTTTGACAAGGTGTGTGTGTGTGTACGTGTATAACACACACGTACTTATGTGGTACGTGTGTACTACATAATTGTAAGGCGTTTGCTGAATTAGAAAAGTCGGCTAGCAGTCCACCCTTAACGACACAATTAACTCATTACATAAAAAAATACGTGGCTGTGCAATAGTGTGTGGGAATTGGGGAACTGGTGTGCATTTAGACGACTGGTGAGGACCAACAATAACGTAGAAGGATATGGCACCAGCGTCTGAATCAAAGGGCAGTGAGGGACAACTTTATATGGCTTTATATATTTTAATCCCCTTACTGTACCGTGAGGCGTCCCTGGTAACCTTGCAATACCAACTGGTTTCTGATCAAAAGCTAAAGTCCAGTCGCCGCAAGGGCAATAAAGAGAAACAGGAACATTTGTGGAAGCTTTGGGACCGTTACGAGGAAAAACAGATAAGCACCTCACAGTTCCTCAAGGAATGTTCGCGTTTTATCCCAGGAAGTGCCTGAACTAGAATTAGAAAACAGCAGTCTGTTTACTGGTTGTTATTTAACTTAAGTTAGTTGTAAATGATAATGTAAAAATAGCCACTGAGAACTGATGAGTTGCCCAAGACTTTTGCTCGTAAAGAGGGAATTGATTACAAACTTGGACTGCCTTTGAGCAGCCTGAGGGCAGCAATATCCCAGGAACATCAACTAAATTTCGGAGACTTGAAGCAAAGTGAAATTCACACCAGTTACTCCATCTATCATCATTCTATCATGCAGGAAGAACCGCACGTCTATGGGTCATCCAATAATGTTAGCAGACTTCTAGATGTTACCACTGCTAGGCTTAGGCTCGGCTACAAGTACCTCTGGGAGTTTGTAACATCTGCTGATGTAGATTTGACTAAATGTAAACTCTATCAGCAGAACTATTCGCTTACTTTGCGTCATTATATAATGGAATGTGAAAAAATCGCGGAATTTAGAGATAACACCATCAATAGTGTCCAAGAAATGTGTAAGTACTTCATTCATAATGATGTGCTGCTCGAAATCTTAGCGAAGTATCCAAAATTTGCTTACTGTAGGTAATACATGCACATGACTGTAAAGCTGCTGCCCAGTTGGGTGGGTGTGGAGCACATGACTGTAATCCTACAAATCCTCAAATCTGTACTGTAATCGATTCGATTTGTGTGTGTAATTGACTGTAATCCTGACCACGTAATTGACTGTAATCCTCAAATCCTACCTTACTGACAGGCTCCAATGTGTTTCTGTGAATAATACAATTTCTCCCACCCTACCCATCAACATTGGTGTTCCCCAGGGCAGCATACTTGGCCCTCTCCTCTTTCTCATCTACATTAATGACCTTCCAAATGCCTCCCAACACCTCAAACCAATCCTATTTGCTGACGACACAACCTTCATTTACTCCAGTCCTGATCCCCTTGCTCTAAATGCCACAGTAAATACTGAGCTAAATAAAGTCCATCTGTGGCTAACTGCCAACAAACTCACCCTTAACATTGACAAAACTTTCTATATTCTGTTTGGCAATAAATCCTCTAATCAAATAAATCTCAAATAAACAATACCCAAATTTGTAACAAATTAGATGGCAAATTCCTTGGCATTCTCATTGACCACAAGCTGAATTTCCAGGGACACATTCTAAACATATCTAAAAAAGTTTCAAAAACTGTGGGCATTCTTTCTAAGATCAGATATTATGTACCACGCCCTGCCCTGGTGACTCTCTATTACTCCCTTATCTATCCATATCTCAACTATGGTATTTGTGCTTGGGGCTCTACTACCCAAAATCATTACGTCCTCTAATTACTCAACACAAAGCTGCTATTAGGACAATATCCAATTCTGGCCCCAGACATCACTCGGTACCCCTATTCAAATCTCTGAATATGTTAGACATTAAGTCACTGCACATTCTCTCATGTGTACTATACATATACAAAACGCTAAATTGTAATGCCAATCCTGATCTCAAAAGCTTCATAGAAGGTTGTAACAGAACCCATGAGTACCACACCAGAAATAAATACAGTTTTGATATTCCTAGAGTACGACTTAATCAAACTAGAAATGCTCTGCAAATCATGGGACCCAGAATGTGGAATGACCTTCCCAACCATGTTAAAGACAGTACCTCTCTCAACCAGTTTAAGATAAAAACTAAACACTACCTAATAAATTCCCTGTAACCTACCTCACTCCTCTATTGTCAACCCATGTCCGTTATTTTTTTTTTTTTTTTGTTAATCGACACTGTTTGTCAACCTATTGTATTTGTGCTGCTTTTTCAGTCATGTTCCCCCTTTTTTTTATCTTTATTTGTATTTGTTCTCAACACTTTTTATTCTTTATGCTCAATTAATATTAAGTTCTAGATATTAATGTTTTTCTTGCCCGAAACGCATTGCGTAATAGTGGCTTTAGGCATTGTATGTACTAGCTCTATCTATATATCAATCCATTAATGTAACATCACTTGTATGTATATACCTTACCTGAATAAACATCTGAATCTGAATCTGCACATGACTGTAAAGCTGCCGCCCAGTTGGGTGGGTGTGCAGTGTGCAGCAAGACTAGTAACTGTGTGACTCACCATAGATGTAAAGTGCCTTGTATAGTGACTGTTGTGAGCCTCTTGTTGATCACTTGTGACACAAAGATTATTGATGTGTGTATTTGTGTAGGTGATTAGATATGTATGTGTATGTATATATGTATACGTATATATATATGTACATGTATGTATGAGAGTGTGCACATGTATATATAATATTAATAATTTTGTAACTAGTGTCACAAATTGTTATTTGCTTAGCTAAACGAACTAGAGGGTTCAGTTCCTGAACCGATTATGTGCCTCTGTAATCCTTTACACCACCGCCCACGGGATGGGTATGGGGTGCATAATAAAGAAAGAAATAGAGTTGAATGGGCCTGATTAAGACTTTATAACCATGTAATCTATGTTTTGCTCCACTACTTACTGGTTGAGTATGAGGTGCATAACAAATAATAGCCTCCTTCGGGGGCGCCTTGTTTCTAAACGTGTTAGTCTTAAATCCTTTAATCTCAAATCTTGCTACAATGTACCTCTTAATATATGTTATGTACTCTCGCAACGCAATGTACCTTCTTGTATATAAATAAATAGATTTCAACTGTAAGGGGGGTATAGTTTGCACCTTGTTATTCTAATAATGGATAAATAATTCTAATAATGGAAGCGCTAATTATATGAACAAGTGCCATGTATTTATTCAGACGAGAACAACAGTGAACACAAACCAGCGCATATACGAACGGAATGGTTTGTATGTACAAACTTCTCAGTGAACGAAGTTGTTTCTAGCCCGGTATCCGAAATTGCAGTATACGACTTGACCAGTCCCCGGCAGGGATACCTGGCTGCTGGTAAGCATTATTCCGGATTTTTTGTTTTTGCTTTTACACATTTTCGCCGAAGGCGAAATGCTATGTTTTTATTACTGCTCACCAATCATCGGCGGCTATTTATAAGCTGAACTGTAATTGGCTCGCTGTAAAGGGGTTTGTGATTGGGCCCATTGTAAGCTGTGCCGTGATTGGTCGAGCAGCTGCCGCTGGGGCTTATCGTCACAAAATGTAAACAACTTCAGAAGGCAGGAGATATTTTCACGGATTTTCGTCGTTTATTTTAGTGACTGACGATGATATTTGCCCAAAGTCAACCAGCGAGCAGCTGGCCGACGCCACCGGTGGCCAGAAGTGATTGTGTGGCCACGACCCGTGACGTTGTGGCTAGAGTTGCGTTTTTGTGGGTATAAGTAGCAAGGGGCCATGGGCGTGATTGTGGCCAGAGATGTGGGCATTATAGCTTGGGGCCATGGCTGTGATTGTGGCCAGAGATGTGGGCATTATAGCTTGGGGCCATGGCTGTGATTGTGGCCAGAGATGTGGGCATTATAGCTTGGGGCCATGGCTGTGATTGTGGCCAGAGATGTGGGCATTATAGCTTAGGGCCATGGCTGTAATTGTATCCAGAGATGTGGGCATTATAGCTTGGGGCCATGGCTGTAATTGTGGCCAGAGATGTGGGCATTATAGCTTGGGGCCATGGCTGTAATTGTGGCCAGAGATGTGGGCATTATAGCTTGGGGCCATGGCTGTAATTGTGGCCAGAGATGTGGGCATTATAGCTTGGGGCCATGGCTGTAATTGTTGTGGCCAGAGATGTGGGCATTATAGCTTGGGTCCATGGCTGTAATTGTGGCCAGAGATGTGGGCATTATAGCTTGGGGCCATGGCTGTAATTGTGGCCAGAGATGTGGGCATTATAGCTTGGGGCCATGGCTATGATTGTGGCCAGAGATGTGGGCATTATAGCTTGGGGCCATGGCTGTAATTGTGGCCAGAGATGTGGGCATTATAGCTTGGGGCCATGGCTGTAATTGTTGTGGCCAGAGATGTGGGCATTATAGCTTGGGGCCAGAGATGTGGGCATTATAGCTTGGGGCCATGGCTGTAATTGTGACCAGAGATGTGGGCATTACATCTTGGGGCCAGAGATGTGTAGATAGCCATTGCTTGGTGCCTTGGTCATGATTATGGCCAGAGATGAGGGTACAAATAGCTTGGGGCCGTGGACATGATTGTGGGTGTACGGATACTGGGTCTGTCTAATTACCCAAAGCCACTCAAAGCCACCTAAAGCTTCCTGGCATTATGCAAATAATGAATAAATATTATAAATTTACTCATTATAATGTTGATGCTGAATGTAGAACATTGAAAAACATATTTTTACTCTGAAAAAAGTATCACTTCATGCCAAAATTAAACGAAAATAAGTTGCTGGTGACGCCAAAGCAAGTCGATGGTCCAAGCGACAATGTTGTGGAGTGACTTATCCAAGACACATTGTTGCCCAAAGAGTATTTGCGGGCATATCAGCCTCCTGTACCTACCTAACCTAACCAACCTACCCAAACCTAACCTAACAAAACCTAACCTAACAAAACCTAATCTAGCAAAACTAAACCTAACCTATCCAAACCTAAGTTAATATATCCTGTATGCAACAGTATATCTTGGATAAGTCGCTCCACAACATTGTTGCTTGGACCATTGATTTGCTTTGGCGTCACCTGCAGCTTATTTTCATCTAATTTCCTTATGAAATGATACTTTTTCCGAGTAAAAATATGTTTTTCCATGCTCTACATTCAGCACCAACATTATAATGAGTAAATATATCATATTTATTCATTACTAACATAATGCCAGGAAGCCTTGGGTGGCTTTGAGTAGGATTGAGTAGCTTTGGGTAATTAGACGGACTGCGGATACCCATAGCTTGGGGCTATGGTTGTGATTGTGGTTAGAGATGTGGGTGTGTGTGTGGGTGCCCATTGCTTGGGGCTATGGTTGTGATTGTGGCCAGAGATGATTGTATGTATGAACAGCCATAACTTGGATCTGTGGATGGGATTGTATCCATGATGTTTGTGTACTATAGCTGCCAATAGCTTGGAATTGTGGTTGTGATTGTCATTCTAGCAACATACTTGATTGTAGTCATAGATATACAGTATTTGTGATCCAAGATGTGTGTGGGGGGGGAAGTACCCTGTTGATTGCATCATGAGTTGTGAGGTGCCTGTGCATTAACTGTGCCCTGAGGTGAGGTGCATTAACTGTGCCCTGAGATGCATTTGGTGCATGGCTGATTATGGCTAGAATTGTGCGACATTTAATGGCAGTCTGAGATGTGCTCATGGATCGTGTTCTATTTCTTGACTAAGATGCTGGGTTGGGCTTAAGATGTATGCTTTTGATGAATGTGATTTTGAATATCATTAGCCATCTTCTATATTGCACACCCATCTGTGGCAAGTGCTTCTTCACTATGGTAGTGGGGCAAATAATGGTAACTATGTAATTAAAGCAAATGTGATGTAAAATCATGATAAGGTTCATTGAGTAACTAAAATAATTTTTTTTCTGTTTAGAATTTAACCACTAACTGTGCCAACCGAGTATTCTCGGTTGGCAGGAAACTGCGCCAACCGAGAAAATTCTTTTTGAATTTTCGGTACCAATTCTAAATATGTACGAGGTTGGTTGTGTACAAAATGGACTCTTAGGACCTCCAGTGAAAGGCAGCTATCTTGGAAAAAAATCCCAGAATGCCCTAGGGCTGCTGACTGGGTTAGTACTGAATGAGCAGCCATGGGTGGCACACGCGCCTCTGGCTTCCAAACACCTGTCCGAAGGGGTGTTGAAAGATAACGCTCTGGCGGTGAAATTCAAACCTTATTGTTTGAAGAACATAAGGGTCATAATATTGGGGAAGCTAGGTGCAATAAGGACCTAACACAAAGGTCAGATGCAAATGATACAGCACCTATGAGGACAATACAGCGAGCGTATCCACTTGTAGCTCTGAGCGTCACCCTTGCAATCCTATGCTATCTACAATTTATTTAGATGATACCTAGCTGAATTGTTTTCTGCGTTCAGTGATGATGCATCTGATACAAATAGCATAGATGAACAGTGTTAGCGGCATCCATGATGGTGTTTTTCATAGATATTTTCAAGAATACCTGAATCTCTTTCTGACTGACGGACACTCTTGAGGTAAGCTGAATCTCTTCCTGTGTGGGACCATACAAAGCGATCTTTTCAAGACTACCTTACAAATTTATCTTTTCCTATAATCTTTTTAATACTACCATATGCTTTACAAGCTCGGCTACATACAACCTACAAGTACTAAATCCAATGGTGTACGTGAGTGCGTTATTTGCAAGCACACAGAATGAAAAAACAGGAAGCGAAAATTTATCTGTACTGTACCTGGTGCACTGAGAGCGAAGTCGCGCTGTGTACCATGGACTACTTTGTTGATTATTACTCACTTCCGAAGTACTGAGTGTGTAATAGTGTGTGTTACTGTGTAAATAGTGTGTGAAACTGTACATATTGTAATTTTAGTGAATTTTTAACAGGTAATATTGCAACAATAAACATTTATTGTGGACACATTACTGACAAATATGTGTCACAGTTCCAGGGAACATTATGAACGTTCTACTGCATACATATTGTAAAGGACACAAATATGCATCATATACGATAAAAAAAACAAATAAAACTGCATTGGAAATACATAAAACAAATACAGTGGTACCTCGCATAACGAATTTAATCCGTTGCATGTTCGTCATGTGAAACGGACGTCATACAAAACAAGTGTCCCCCATGTAACCCGTGTGATGCACTGTGTTTATTGTGAAATTCCCCCAGAGTGCATGACATCAAATGTTCCCCAAAATATCATTTTTCTTTACAAAATGATAAATTACCGTCCCTAAACATGTCTATGTAAAAATAATTACCAAATTCCACTTGCTTTGGCTGTGAGGGCGTGGACAAGGTGCGCTGTGACGTCATCAGGGCCTGGTCGCCCGTGTGTGAAGCTCCCAGACACGGTCGCGCAGGCCATTCAAGCACCGCGTGTTGCCACAAATATATTTTCAAATATTTTTTCTATGCATTTCCAATGCGGTATTTTTTGTTTCTTTTATCGTATATGATGCATATTTGTGACCTTTACAATATGTATACAGTAGAATGTTCATAATTTTCCATGGAACTGTGATACATGTGTCAGTAATGTGTCCACAATAAATGTTTATTGTCACAATATTCCGTGGTAAAAATTCACTAAAATTACAATATGTACAGTTTCACATACTATTTACACAGTAACACACTGTATTACACACTCAGTACTTTGGAGGTGCGTAATAGTCAACGAAGTAGTCCATGGTACACAGCGCGACTTTGCTCTCCTTGCACCAGCTACAGATAGATTTTCGTTTCCTGTTTCATCGTTCTGTGTGCTTGCAAATAACGCATTCGCATGCACCCTTGGCTTTAGTACTTATAGGTGGTATGTAGCCAAGCTTGTAAAGCATAAGGTAGTATTGAAACGATTATAGGAAAAGCTCAATTTGTAAGGTAGTCTTGAAAAGATCTCTTTGTAAGGTCCCACACAGGAAGAGATTCAGCTAGCCTCAAAGAGTGTCCATCAGTCAGGAAGAGATTCAGGTATTCTTGAAAATATCAATGAACAACACTACCATGGAAGCCGCTAACACTGTTCATCTATGCTACTTGTATCAGATGCATCATCACTGAACGCAGAAAACGATTCATCTATGTATCATCTATATAAATTCGAGATGGCTAGGGTGGGGCTCAGAGCTACAACTGGATACGCTCGCTGTAGCATCCTCATAGGTGCTGTATCACTGGCATCCGACCGTTGTGTTAAGCCCTTATTGCGCCTAGCTTTACCAATGTTATGACCCTTATGTTCTTCAAACAATAGGGCCTGAATTACACCGACTGAGCACAGTCTTTCAACACCGTGTGGGACAGGTGTTTGAGAGCCAGAGGCACGTGTGCCACAAATGGTTGCTCACGCAGTACTAACCCATCCAGCAGCCCTTGTCTTTCATATTCGTTATAACAAAAGGTTCGTTCAGTGTTTGTTGGGTAGGCTGCTCCATTATAACAATCTTTGTTTCAAATGTGTTCCATTTGTTTTGTATTTGTCACTTACGTCTCAATAATGGAGCAGCCTACCCGACAAACACTGAACGAACCTTTATGGCATTTGTCCATTTTTCAAATTGTTTCAACAGTTCTTTTATTTTTCGTTTTTTTTTATTTAAGAAACATGGAGCAGCCGACCTGCAGACCACCGTACGAACCTTTTGCTATAAGACAAATGAAAAATAAATATTGAACACATTTGAAGAAAGGAAAATGTCATAATGGTTTATTAAGTTTATGTAAGGTAGGCTTCTCCATTATTGAGACGTAAATGACAAATACAAAACAAATGGAACACATTTGAAACAAAGAAAGATTGTTATAATGGAGCAACTTACCTGCCGAACACCGAACGAACCTTTTTGACATTTGTTGTATATCAGACATTTCATTTCTTTTTTCCTACAAAAACGTCAATGCTTTGCAACATCTCAGCAGTCACCCCTGTATATCCCAGCATCATTAGCATCTTTAAACAAGAACAACATAATTTATGTGCATCGTCGGAGGCGTCCAAGAATGTGCAAGAAGCAGCGCGACCCCACCATGTGGTGTTGACGTTACTCAAACCAGCGTTCGCCATACGGGACAATTTGACGCCGATCGGGCCGTTTGTTACCCAAAATGTTCGTCTTTTGGGGCGATCGTTATGCGAGGTACCACTGTAATTGAAAATATATCTGTGGCAACACTCTGTGCTTGAATAGCCCTCGCGACCGTGTCTGGGTGATTCACGCACGGGCGACCTGGCCCTGATGATGTCACAGCGCACCTTGTCCACGTCCCCACAGCCAAAGTAAGAAGATTTGGTATTTATTTTCACATAGGGAATTTATCGTTCAGGAAAGGGAATTTATCATTTTACGAAGAAAAAAGATTTTTGGGGGAACACTTTATTTCATGCGCACCGGAGAAATTTCACAATAAACTCAGTGTTAAAAATTCACTAAAATTACAATATGTACAGTTTCACACACACTATTTACACAGTAACACACACTATTACACACATAAGAGGTTGTTCTGGAAACTGGAAAATATTGGAGGGGTGACAGGTAAGCTTCTATCATGGATGAAAAATTTTCTGACTGATAGAAAAATGAGGGCAGTAATCAGAGGCAATGTATCGGAATGGAGAAATGTCACAAGTGGAGTACCACAGGGTTCAGTTCTTGCACCAGTGATGTTTATTGTGTACATAAATGATCTACCAGTTGGTATACAGAATTATATGAACATGTTTGCTGATGATGCTAAGATAATAGGAAGGATAAGAAATTTAGATGATTGTCATGCCCTTCAAGAAGACCTGGACAAAATAAGTAGATGGAGCACCACTTGGCAAATGGAATTTAATGTTAATAAATGTCATGTTATGGAATGTGGAATAGGAGAACATAGACCCCACACAACCTATATATTATGTGAGAAATCTTTAAAGAATTCTGATAAAGAAAGAGATCTAGGGGTGGTTCTAGATAGAAAACTATCACCTGAGGACCACATAAAGAATATTGTGCAAGGAGCCTATGCTATGCTTTCTAACTTCAGAATTGCATTTAAATACATGGATGGCGATATACTAAAGCAATTGTTCACGACTTTTGTTAGGCCAGAGCTAGAATATGCAGCTGTTGTGTGGTGCCCATATCTTAAGAAGCACATCAACAAACTGGAAAAGGTGCAAAGACATGCTACTAAGTGGCTCCCAGAACTGAAGGGTAAGAGCTACGAGGAGAGGTTAGAAGCATTAAACGTGCCAAACCTAGAAGACAGAAGAAAAAGAGGTGATATGATCACTACATACAAAATAGTAACAGGAATTGATAAAATCGATAGGGAAGATTTCCTGAGACCTGGCACTTCAAGAACAAGAGGTCATAGATTTAAACTAGCTAAACACAGATGCCGAAGAAATATAAGAAAATTCACCTTCGCAAATAGAGTGGTAGACGGTTGGAACAAGTTAAGTGAGAAGGTGGTGGAGGCCAAGACCGTCAGTAGTTTCAAAGCGTTATATGACAAAGAGTGCTGGGAAGACGGGACACCACGAGCGTAGCTCTCCTCCTGTAACTACACTTAGGTAATTACTCAATACTTCGGAAGTGAGTAATAATCAACGAAGTAGCCTATGGTACACAGCGCGACTTCGCTCTCAGTACACCAGGTACCGATAAATTTTTGCTTCCTATTCTGTGTGCTTGCAAATAACACACTCATGTACACCCTTGGCTTTAGTACTTGTATGTAGCCAAGCTTGTAAAGCATAAGGTAGTATTGAAAAGATTATAGGAAAAGATCAATTTGTAAGGCAGTCTTGAAAAGATTGCTTTGTATGGTCCCACACAGGAAGAGATTCAGCTTACCTCAAGAGATTCCGACAGTCAGAAAGAGATTCAGCTAGTCTCAAAGAGTGTCCGTCAGTTTGGAAGAGATTCAGGTATTCTTGAAAATATCTATGGAAAACACCACCATGGAAGCCGCTAACACTGTTCATCTATGCTACTTGTATCAGATGCATCATCACTGAACCCAGAAAACGATTCATCTGTGTATCGTCTAAATAAATTACCTCGTACACATTTAGAACTGGTAACGAAAAATCAAAGAGTTTTTTCGGTTGGCGCAGTTTCCCGCCGACCGAGAATACTCGATTGGCGCAGTGAAGTGGTTAAAGTCAGTTTTCAACTTCATGTTTCTTCATGAGACATTCATTACCATTGGTGTTCTTGTCATAAAACAGTACAGTATATGTTTGTTAGCATTTACCTGATATTCTCATTGAATGTCACAGTCTTTATGCTCCATTGTTACTCACAGATTGAGCGATGAGCTTCCTGACAGTCATCCTGGAAGCTGAGCAGCACCCGCAGCCGGCAAGTTGGAGCCTGCGTCAAACATGTGTGTGCCTTACTTGCTAGTAAAAAAGGTATATATTTGTATTTAAAAATAAGGAATATGATCATCTCTTTTCTTGCAACTGTGTTGGGTGAACTATAAAAAAAAAAAATTATCTTTTTGACCCTGAAAATTTCAGGTTAAATTGACCCTGAAATTGCCCGAAATGCTATGTGTATTAGTGGCTTTAGGCATTGTATGTACTAACTCTATCTATAAATCCAACATTATGTTTGTAAATCATCTATGTATGTACTTTTCATGAATAAAAATTTGAATTTTGAATTTGAATTTGAATCTTGGAATTTTGTAATAATCTCTGCTGAACATTATTTGTTCATTAGTTGTCCCCAGTAGAGAATCATTTTCTTTTATTCCACTTCATATACAGATTTTAAATGTTTGCTTATGGCCCTGAAATAAAACCTGTTTTTTTCTTAGAATTTTGGTTGAAATTGATCACCATTAAGTATTTTGTGAGTTTTATGCAGATTTAGTTTTCTTGGCTGTGTTCTAAATGGTTTATCCAGAAGATTTAACATATTTATAATAATAATAATAATAATAATAATAATATTTTATTTAGGTAAGGTACATACATACAATAAATTTTTACAAAGATTGGTTGACTTATAGATAGAGCTAGTACATACAATGCCTAAAGCCACTATTACGCAAAGCGTTTCGGGCATAAATCTTCGGGCATTATCTTCAACTTTATATAATTAATAATAATTCATTGTACCTGGATTGTACTGGGATGGGGTTCTGGGAGTTTTTTTACTTCCCGAGCCCAGCCCTGGGCCAGGCTTGACTTGTAAGAGCTTGGTCCAACAGGATGTTGCTTAGAGCGGCCCACATGCCCACATATCCACCATAGCCAGGTTGGTCCGGCACTTTTTGAAGAAACCTAACCAAGTTTCTCCTGAAGGTGTCCACATTTGTTCCGGCAATATTTCTTATACTCACTGGGAGTATGTTGAACAACTGTGGACCTCTGATGTTCATACAGTGTTATCTGATAGTGCCTATGACACCCCTGCTCATCACTGGTACTATTCTGCATTTTCTTCCATGTCATTCACTCTAGTATTTTATTATTTTACTATGTAGATTTGAGACCTGACTCTTCAGCATTTTCCCATGTGTAAATTATTTTATATCTCGTCTCCATTCGAGGGAGTACATTTAGAGAGCTTTGAGACAATCCCAATAATTTAGGTGCTTTATCGCTTCTATGTATGCTGTATATGTTCTCTGTATTTCCTCTTATTTCAGCAATCTCTCCCACTCTGAAGGGGAAAATGAATGTCGAGCAGTACTCATGATGGAACAGCACAAGTGATTTGAAGAGTACAACCATTGTGATGGGATCCCTAGATTTGAAGGTTCTCATAATTCATCTTATCATATTTGCTTGGTTATGCTCCCTAAACGTTAGGTCATCAGACATCATTATTCCGCGATCCTTTATATGCTGCTTTCCAACTTTGGGCAGATTTGATTGTGTTTTGTTCCTTGTATTTTGTTGAAGGTCATCATATTTACCATACCTGAGTTTATGGAATTTATCACTGTTAAACATCATGTTATTTTCTGCTGCCCAGTCGAAAACTTTATTAACACTTTCGCGCTCTCGGCGTTCAAAAAAAATCATACCCTATGCGCTTTCGGCGGTTCGCGCACCTATGCGGTAAGACAGAAAAAGTGTATACTCTTTTGACTGTCCTGACAATAATTGAAGGCGCACGTATTTAAATTTGGTATCACTGTGTTCGCAATAAAATTGTCTATAAGAACATCCCTATAAAATGCCGCCAAAGCATAAGGACTATCAACACCAAATAAAAAACTATTCAGATCACTTGCCGAGAGCGCCAAACAGCAACAAAATGTTTCAACTCTCTTAATGGTTGCGAAGCCTACAGTTGTCCTACATCGCTAATTGTGGTATCATTGGAATCGCAATAAAATTCTCTACACGGACATATGCATATAAATATAGATTCAATGTCGTAGCCCACCCAAAACAGTGTGGGAAGTGGCCGAAGTGTTACCCGCGGCGGCATATCGGCGAAACTCGCTTTGAAAAGTATATTCAATTCACTGTCCTGACATTATTTGTTGATGTATGTATTTCATTTTTGTACCAATGTGTTCGCAATAGAATGTTGTATAAGAACATAAGTATTAAAGGTCACATAAGAATGCGTTCGACCGGCAACATATATAAAAACTACGTCGATTATACTCGTCGTGTCAATAATACAATTGTTTTACCACGATGATTCACTGCCACGCCGTTCTCTTTAAAAAGCTGTTCGGCTATTAGAGAAAACGTAAATTTCATGGCAAACATTTGTAAACTATTCCCAAGTTGATCGGATAATAAATGGATTTTATACAAATATTTTTTCTCGTGACTCCCGAGCGCCGCACGCCAGCGTAAGTAGTAAGAATATTGGTGACGACACTGTTGTCACCAATTAGCGAAAGTGATAATATCTGCTTGTAGTTTTTCAATGTTTTAGCAGAGGTAATTTTCATGCTGATTTTTGTGTCGTCTGCAAAGGGTGATACGAAGCTGTAACTTCTATTTATATCTTATATGAGAATAAGGAAAAGCAGTGGTACAAGAACTGTACCCTGAGGTACAGAGCTTTTAACTGCACTTGGACTCTATTTTATTTTGTTTACTGTTACTCTTTATATTCTGTTTGACAAAAAATTTAACATCCACTGTCCCACTTTACCAGTTTTTCCCATTGACATCATTTTGTGTGCTTTCACCAAAGTGCTACTGGCACTTTGCATTTCTTTATAAAAATTGAACTTCACAAGTCTGGGTCCAGAGCTAAGTGCATAGGCATGTTGTCAATTTCTCTTTCAAAATCTACCATGCTCATGTTGATATCAATTATATTTTCAAGGGTTTGGATATCATGCATAAAGAAGTTGTCCAGATTTTTTACTTTCATGCTTTTTATTGGGGGTGCTAAACATGTCCTCATACTGCTTTTTTATGATATCACTAATTTCTTTGTCATCCTCTGTGTATGAACCTTCACTTGTACGAATAGGTTCAATACTGGCATTGATTTTTGCTTTTGATTTCGCATATGTGACAAAATATTTTGGGGGTTTTCTTTATCTCTTGTATTGCTTTCTGTACTAGTTGCATTTCTTGAATCTGATATGAATGTTTCAGTCTTGGCTCAATTTCTTAAATATCCCTGTTTAAATTATTCTTTCTTTGTAGACAGAGTCGAGTCTGCTTAAGCATTTCTGTTATTTTTTCCTTCTTTTGTAGTGTCTTTTGCATTCTCTTTCTACACTGAACCTCTTTCTGACTTTCCTCAAAGGAACATGTTTCAGACAGACTTTATATGCTGTGGAAGTCAGTTGTTCTACCCAACTCTTTTCTGTCCTACCCGGGATTTGAACCTGGAATTCCTGATAGTGATATAAGAATGGACACAGCTGTACTACAAGAACCCTTGTATAGAGTGTGGAAGCTGTGAACATGTTAGTGTTAGGCTCGGACCAAGTCACATTTACAGTAGCGAGGAATATATGTAGGATGATATAATTCATGCTGTCATGAACCTGTAGAGATTTTGAAAGTAATATTTTGAAAATACACAACACATTTATAAGGTAAATTGACTGCTGGAACTGGTGAAATTCCAATCAATAGAATTCAAGCTTCGGTGATAAATAATATTGGCAAGTTATTAGTGGAGTGCAATATATTTTGCTGGTACTGATTGATGGTGACAGTTATTGTCAACTAGGAATTCTGAATGTATTCAGGAAGAAGCTTCATAAATGAAGTTAATATATATTGCAACTTGCAGGAGTAATGAAATAAACTTCCTTCTAAAACTTCTGTAATCAGCATTGATGCCATGTTTACCCACTCTTCAGAGAGCTAGTAGAAGTCCTTCACCTGGAGCAATATACCCCTCAATCATTGAGGTTAATGTCCAGGAAATGCTGAAAGGCACTCATGCATCCCTCCTTGGGCTCCCCTCCCATTCCTCTAAGCCATTCATGACGGCCCTAGGTTGGAGCCGTATTCCATGCCCAATGCCTGGGGAAGGGAGTTGTCGTTCCAAGGAGAAGGATCAAAGCTAGGTAACGGTTATGAAGATGATGGCTCCGTATTCCTGGCAGGAAGTGACTGCTCAACTGCCTCCATCATTGAAGTGGATGAGGCTATCCCCTAAGGTGGCCAAGCTATCTCCATAGCTAAACTTTGGCCTGACTTCGAAACCCTTCAGGTGCTTCAGAGCTGGAACTGGGAGGGGGGGGGGGAGAGATCCTTCCCTTCTTGTAATTGGTGTAATTCAATGTGAATTACATCAATAAGGAAAAGAAGGAAAGGGCCACCAGTACTTCCAAATCTTGGTCCCTAAATACCTTGGGGCCAACTTTGGAGCAATCAGTCAAGCAACATGCCATAAACCACAAATACAGTTCAGGAAAAGCTAGCCCGTAAAGCAGCAGCTGCTTGATATGCTTTCTGTCTTGAGGCAAGATCACACAAAATGAAGACCCAACACATGCATATGTCACAAGTCTCTGGGTTGAAGGTGTCACTGACCCAACCGACAGCATGAAGAAGGTAGGCAGAATGACTCAGCTTGTAGGAAGGCCGACAAGTACTGCACTCTTCAAACTTGTGTGTAGCGAGTGACTTGACGGTTTATCCATAACGAGCTACACCACAGATCTGCATGGGGGTTACCAAGGCTTAAAAGTAATTAACCAAGCAGGATATCCAGGCACTAAGAATGGTCACTGAAAAAACAAACACAAAACTCAGCTTAACCACTGCACTGCATTAAAAGGACATCCCCGTGATGCGCTGAAAATAAATTTTTCTAAAAAAATTCTTTCATCTTTGTTAACCCTTAAACTGCGCAACACATCAATAGGTGTGTTGAGTAACTGTCACAGAATTGTGCACACAGCTATAGATGTGTTGGAGTAACACTCAAGATTTAAAAAGTCCCGCGGCTATACGGG